CAGCGGACCTCATTTTCTTTCACAGTTATGACTATAGCTTACACAGGCAAAATTTATAAATATCTTCGCATCTGATATTTTAAATTATCAAAAGTCGAAAAATCAAAAACCCTTCCTTAACCGCTGTCAGTGAGAGACGGAGCACTCGCTAAGTAGCCCGAGTGATAGTAAATGCCATCAGCAACCAGCCCGCTGGCAAGGCTACTGATGGTTCCCTCTTTTGAGGGTTACAGGCATCTAATGGCTGGTTTGACACCTTGGCATATGCCAATATCAATTTACCATCGATTTGAATGAACGAATTGTGCAGACACTGATTGGCCCACCGGTAGAGTCGAATCTTCCACCTACTGCACTGTTATTCCGCTGCATCTTTTTATCCTGAAAATTCTGATTAGCAGTACCAAAAAGAATCCCATTCTTGTACCAAAATATTTTTCTGGATGTGAACACGCCGGATGAGCGTCGTTTGCCGTTGTTTCTTGTCGTCACATTATTATTGACGCATTCTGTTATCGGTGGCCTACTGTTTCATTTCTGGATTGATCAGATGCCCGTCATCCCGGCAGTTTATTTTAGGTACCTACTTTTTATTATTCCTTTTTTTAGCGTTTTCTGCCTTATTCGCTTCTTTTTTCTCAAAAATCCAAAGCTCAATAAATTAGATTGAATATTTCTGTACCATTTTCATTGCGTCAATTTTTAAAGTTTTTCAAAAACAGATCATCTGAGGATTTGTGAATAAAAAACAAAAGGCTTATTAATTATGTTTAAAAATTTCTTTAAAAATTTCTGAAAATCAACGAGGGTCAGGGAAGAAAAGGGAGTCGAGTTTGGGTCTAATAAGGCTAAAAACTGAGTGAATGATTTTGCGCTGAAGTTGATTTCGTGATTCTAAGGCATATTCTTAAGCATTGAAAAATATCATGAGAAGTGAAATATTCAGTTTCGTTTCAATCACCACGATCGGCTATGGCGATATCACTCCGACACCAAATGGTCCCTTGCAAACATTCATTATTATATTTTATCTTGCTATTGGAATGGTAAGTTTGCATGCTCAACTATTCACTAACTAGAACTCGGAACGGATCCCGGGAAAAGCCGCTGATACGGTGGGAAGTTTCGCTCGAGTGCTAAGCTGGAATTATGTGGATGACAGAAGCCAAACATAGAGAAGAATGAAGCTGCCAGTTGTACTAGTGACGAGAAGAAACACGATTATGAAATATTAGTTGAATAGTATCAAAATGATGCAAAGAGTTATTGCTATTAATCTTTTTCGACGAGTTTTTTTCTCTCACTCTAAACTCAAACTCATTTCCTTTTCCACATTATTTTTGGATGATTTAGTAGCTTAGTGTTATTAATTTGCTTAAAGGAAGCTGTTAGCGGATTTGGCCTTTGCTGTAAGCCAACTCGAAAACTAGTCGGAAAATAGTAGTTGAAATTTTGTCAGAATATTTGTTGTTCATATTAGGAAATCGAATACCTAAGTTGAGCTTCGTTTTGCATTTGCGCCGCGATTTCAAAGATATTTGTCAAAATCATCGACAGTTCTTTTATTTTTATTATTATTTTTTCTTCCACAGACATTAATTGTAAGGAGGGCGAATTGATAGCTTCCAAAAGCAATTGAAGAAAACGCATGCATTTATTTTGTTATACCAGTTTTAATCCGGCTATCAGTTTAGGTGTCCCACATTAGTGATGTTACTGGAATGATATACCCAACAGAAGGCCACGATTTTCATACTGATATTTAAAAAAAATCATTTTGCAGGTGATTATGTCAACATTTGTGGCAGCACTGTATAATTACTTGCGGAAATTACATTACCTAGGGCGCAATTTCAGTGGTGCAGCACATGTGGAGGTGTGGTTCGGTGGTACCAGGATGTCCGTATCCGAGCTGCTCTATATTGTTGCTGAGGAATTCAATGTTAGTAATCGGCTTTTAAAAAATCTTCGATGATTTTTGTTTTTTTGAGGAAATAAGCTAATTCAGTGTGTTTCAAAATTCTTTGCTCAATCGAAGTCTTTTGATTGCTGTGGAATGCTATTCGTAAAAGCACTGCGCTGGTGGGCATAGTCAAATTTTTTCTCAAAATTTTGGAAGGAAGGGAGAAAAGTTGGGTTTCTTTTCCAAGAAATTATGTAAGCATCACCTTACAGGTCTCTCCCAAAATGCTTTACGAAGTGTTACACGATTTGGACGACATAATAACAGAAGCGACAGATCCGAAGTTGCAAAATAATATTGAAGAAGTTGAAAATCGTCGTCAGGATCGAATTTCGCGCAGTGAAAGTCGCGCGGGTGAAAAACGGACGAAAAAGGGAGTGAGAAGAGTGGAAGTGAAGGATTCGGAAAATCCTGAACATACACATGTAAACCTTTTCCATTCTTTTTCGCACTTCTATTTATGCAAAAAGTTATTCTTCTGAGTGCTTTTCTATCGCAATTTGGTGAACCAAATTTCGT